AGCTTAATTAGGTCCTCCTCGATTTTTATAAAGGCAAGTAATTAGAAATCACTTTCTATTGAAAACATTTTCTGTACCACAATATGCTTTAACTTATTTTTTTTAAGATTTTATTGGGGAATTGGGGAGGGGAACAGTGTTGGGGAAGGGAACAGCCAAGTTGTTTTCCATTTTATGTTCTTCAGTCTAGTTGTGAAGGACGCCACTTCACTGGCCCATGTTGGTACTATGATCATTGCACTCATCTCGGCTGAGGCAGTCGGTCGCTGGCCATGGGACTGCTACTCACGGCAGCTCACCGCAGCTCTTGCTGGCTTCTGGCCGCTCACGGCAGTCCAGCTCCAAGGCGAGCTGTTCACAATCTTAGCTGTAGAGGGTGCAGCTTACTGGCGCATGTAAAAATCGAACCTGCAGCCCTGTTCTTCAGAGCTCACGCCCTTACCAACTGAGCCACTCGACAGGCCCTAAACTTTTTTTGAAGTCTGGCAATTTGTACATGCAAAGTCAGTGGTCTGTATAGAGATTCTGAGGAGGATGGTTCGTCTCCGTGTTTAGTAAATTGGAACAGGAGTGATTATGCAAGAGGAGGCTGGAATGAATAGTCAGAACATGGGTATGTATGGGGTAAAGAATATTGGATGTTACTATCTAGAAGCGGTCCCTTAAAAGTTTACCCCCCTGGCATGGGTTGACCAGTTTGAAAACCAAAAGCCTAGAGAATTCCAGGAATTTCAACCTGAGCCAGAAGGGACACAAGTGATCAGCACATCCTGCTGAGGACAAGAGTCCAGAGACCCTGTGTGCCTGGGGTCAGTGGTACCTATCCCTACCCATCACTCTCCTCTACCCTGAATTCCAAAATCCAGTGTTTGATATTTTAAGGTCACAATAACAGTGACTCAGACGTGATCATAAAAGAGTAAATTAAGTGATTGAAAAGTAATGACCTTATCTTAACTGAGAGACATTCCAATGGAACCGGAGCCAATTCAGAAGCACACTCAGTTAGCTTTCAGGATAAATAAACATTCCTTGTTGGCAGAGACAGACACTCTAATATTTGACTTTCGGTTTGAGGTGATTTATTCTGTTTGACTTAGTATTTCTATTATTCCTTTTTTTTTTTTTACATAAGTGTAATCGCTGACATTTACCACCCGACACTCTGCTGAGCTTTTTTCCTGACAGTATTTGGTCAGGATGTGTCATTGACAGGCCTCTGGAAGCAGTCTGCTCAGGTCAGGGTCAAGATCATTTAGAATGTCCACCGGGAAGGAGTATGTCATCAGATTGTTTAGAAAAACTGGTTCATGGTAATAATTAAAAGCTGTTCTTTTTTATGCCATTTTGTTATCATTTCTAGATTCCCCCACAGTGCAGCCTGTGGTGCCCACCCCTGTGGGAACACTCCCACTGCCTCACCCTCGAAACTCTGTCAGGTCTCAGAGCATCTCCCCTGTCCTGGCCATTACATTGGAAGGAGATGTAATAATAACAAACCATTATTTTTATCCCCTGAGATAATAAAAGAATAAGTAGAAAGCTGAAGTTATGTAAGTATTTTGAAGGTAAAGGAAGATCGGAGACCCAGAAAGAACTTAGGCACCCGAATAGAATAAATTGCCCATTTGGCTCTGTCTCTGAGCAGTGTGTTTCCCAAAACTACACAGTCCAACAACTGAATAACGTACTTTAAATAATTATTTTTAATTTCGTTTTTAAAACACATAGGAATATGCAGCATGCAGCAATTGTTAAATCCTGTTTAGTCTCTCTTTCATCTCTCTTACTTCTTTGGTCTGTACTCAAATATTTCTCTCTCTCTCTCTCTCTCTCTCTCTCTCTCTCTCTCTCTCTGCCTTTCCATTGCTCATACTATTTAAGTCTCACTTTGGTTTTTGCAGATGTGAGAATTCACATTTCAATGGCTGAAAAACTAAATTTGACATAACAAATTTACTCAATATTGATGTAACTACACAAAATTCTGTATGTAACA